AGCATTAGCTCGTATCTCTCAGCAGAGGACAGACAGAAGGAAAAAAAACACGCCTGTCCCACCCTTCCCACAGGCGATTGGCTTCAGTGAATGATAACGCAGGGTGAATGACACCAGGAGAAGAGTGAGGGTTGGATTGTGGTTAGTGCGTCATCGGACTGGCAGGGGCTCATTTAAAGCGGCTGGTGTAGCAGAGAGAGAGAGAGAGAGAGAGAGCTTAGAAGAGGCTGAGTGACATTTCAGCTCCACACCCAAATCTCTGGAAAATTCCATCAGTTTTGCCTGCAGAGTTTCGTTACCACTGGCGGCACGCAGCAAGGAGGCAGAAAAATGCCAGCAGACACAGCCTCCATGTTTGGATTTCTATCTTTGTCAATAACCTTGGGGTGTGTGTTAGAAGACTGTAACGTTGACGGAGGTTTCTGACCACAGCGTGGAGGTCTGGTCCACTTGAAACACATCCATGTGTGAAGTCAGATGCGGATCAAAGCTGATCTTTTCCTGTCGGTGTAGATCTATCACTTCCTGCTCGCCTGTCACCCTGGGGAAGGCAACGCTTTTCCGATCCCCCGACTCCCCCCTTCCTCTTCATCGTTACACCCTCATCCTCTGTGTCGGCGCGTCGCTGCGCCCTGACCTCAGGTATCAAAGGTGTGCGAAGGTTTCGTCTCCCGGGTTTCTTCCCATTCATGCCACATAAAGCCACCAAGGTGTAACCGCTTCTGGCCTGGTCGCCTCGGTGACCAAACAGGAAGTGTTCAACTGGTCCCGAGGCACAGCGTAAGGCTGCTTCCTTTTGTCAGTTTATCTCTGAATTTTAAAGTTTAGTTTCCTTGAACTGAGTTCTTGTCAGTTGTGAATAAAGAGGCTGCCAGTGAATTTATTCATAACATAAATACACATTCAAGGACAAGAACATCTGAGCCTGCAGTTATCTCTAAATCAAATCAAGTCCGTGCACACCCAGCCAATGTAGTTGTAATGTTAATAAAGTCATAGGGTTTTAAGTTACAGTGATGTGAAACACAAAGATAACGGACTGTGTGGTGTTCATCTGGTCCACATATCCAGAGTGACTGCAATCAGAGAGGTGGGTGCGTAGACACTGGCAATAAAAATCTTATTATAGAATTACATCTGTCTTGATATTAAAGCCCACATAGTATAAAGACTTGCCATCGTGTTGTTTTTGATTATGTAAAGCAATATATATAATAATCTGTGGTTCAGCAGCTCGTCCACGGAGAAATGCACAGAACAGCCTACAGATGAACAGAAACCCGAGCCATCAAACCAGCTGTCAGACTTCAATAGACATAATAATAAGAGAATGATTGTCACAACAAAGCAGTCACTCTTCTGAAGCCCAAGCCCCCACCAACCTGAATACCACCATAACCCTTGCGGTAATAGGTATATACATCATCATCTCATATATAAAATAAAAAAAAAACCCTGAAAGATGCAGTGATGTCAGCAGCACAGGTGATATGATGTTCGCCTGTGATTGGGTGTTTCTTAGCCGCCATGTTTCGAAATAGTAGTTTTCTGCCTACTATTAATTTATTAATGCTGCTTGCTCTTACATCATGTCAATTATGAATTTTAAGCCCTTTCTCCTCCCCTTTTGCTGTATTGGCAAAAGGTAGATACATTGGAAATGTACTTCTTTTATTTAACATGGCTTCCTCTTGCTCAGAGGGTGGTGGTGGACTGGACTCCTTCACCCTTCTCACACAGGACCCATTTATCCTCTTGGACAGTTTCTCCTCGACTGCTTCTTTTGTCTCTGGAATATAAAAAACACTAGGTATAAGTTTTCCAAAGAACCTGCATGCAACACTAGTTGTCTGAGCCATTACTCCTTCTGTCGCTAAGGATAACATCTAAACACTCAGCAGTGCCATAGTTAACTAGGTAAATGGCTCACTAGCTTGCTTGGCTAGCATGTTCATCAAGTTAACTTGCGTTAGTGAAATGTATCCAAGTTTGTCATTTAACTTTGTTATTATCAAATTATTTGAGATGTAGTGACTCGCCCTTCAGGAACAGGAACCTTATAAAAGTCCTCCTTCCACCGCACCCAGTAAACGGCGGGAAGCGCACAAGCTGAGATATGAGGATGGCCTCCACTCATACATAAAGTGTAGTGCATCTCAGATCCCACATCAGAAGGTCCAGAATTGTGCTTCACATATTTTGTCTGTTGAACATTTGTAGTGGCAGGAAAAAGTGAGGTGAAGCCTTTGGAATTACCTACGTTTATGCATAATTCATCCATAAAATGTGGTCTGAGCTTCATCAAAGTTACTATAATAGACAAATACACTCTATGTAAACTAATAATACTCAAATAATTGTTTTCTGAATTTCTGTATTTATTAAAAAAATCTAAATGTTCAAAATTCAAATAGGAAATAATATGTGAACCCCTTCACAAATTACTCTAAAAAGCTACTACAAGTTAAATTTCCCCATTATTGTAGTTAGTGGTTAGTTACAAAACACATGAAAAATTTTGTTTACTGACACTCTTTACTTCAGAAGCTGATTTGAAACATCCCTTTTCACATGTGCTTCAGATGAAGCAAGATGACATTAAAGGTTTGAAAAGGGGGAAGACAACCCTTGGGTTAAAGTTAAGGATTTAGAGTAGCTGTCAGTCATCTGATGCTAAATAGAAGTTGGGAGATGTAACATGAAAATACCCCTAAACACAGTGAACTATGGCTGGGACACAAGAAAAGTCATGTTTCAGAATGGTTAAAGTGATTCCAGGCCTCAAATCAATTGAGATTCTGTGACATGAACTGAAGAGAGCCATTCATAGAAGACACTTAAATATAATTATACTAAACTTGGTTTAAAACTCTTCATGTCCTCATGCTTCATGTTACCATGTCAGGCCTATGTAGCTTCTCCATTATTGTGAAGAATATAAGACCACATTTAATGAGTAGCTCATGCAGAAATGCAGGGAGATCCAAGGGGTTTACTCACTATTTGTTAGAACTGTATATCGATGAGTTTAAGCTAAATAACAGAAACACCTCCTACAGTTCAACCCTAATAAGCTGGAAACAGAATACTTTGTATTTGTGCTATAATCCAAGTCATCTTGCTGGCAAACTGTTGGTTAGCTGGAAAGATTAGAAGACAGTTCCAACAATGTTACCTTACCTTAAAGTCTATTTTAAGGGTTGTATGAGGCTCAGCTTTTTATTAAATTCACATTCTTATTTATTGTTTAAGTTCACCATCTTGTTGTTCATGAATCTGTCTGTTAATGATGTCCATGTTCTTTTTACATTTTAAGGTGTCAAAATGCGTCAGAGACTGAGAGCACAATTAAACGACCCTGTGCAAGACTGAAAAGAGGACATGTGGATCTAAGTCAGTTAATAAGGAATATGTGGAAAGTCTCGGAATGTGTCAAATATAAGAGATCTGGTCTGTGACTTCAGTCTTATCTGATGATCTTATTTGAAGGTGGCAGTTGGTTAAAAGTGTTTTTTAAATGTACTCAGGCCTCGCCCTTCACTGATGACTGCAAAGATCAAATCAGTGCAGATTCACATACTGCAGATGCTGAGGTGAGAGAGTGATATGCTCCTTACATTTGTGGTCAGATATTTCACACTGGGCTTAATAGACATAAGCTGCAAGAAATGTCCATGTAAAGAAGAGAAGAAGAAAGTGTGGAGACTGAAGCAGTGTGTTGTCTCAACCAGCAGAGAGCAGCAGTGTGAAGGTTTGACTCCTGACAGCAGGAGGCAACAGAGAGGAGCTCATCAAAGACTGAAAGATGAACTGAAGGTGATGTGAAATTCCTCTGACACAAAACAAGCTTGACTTTAATTTGTTGTTGTTGTTGCTTTGAGCTCTTTTCAATTCGAATATAAAGACAAACAGCAGCTTATTCTCTGATTTCAAGTTGACTGAAACATTATTGTCAAATTTTCTTGAAACACAGAGTCAAGCCAAAGCAGACAAAGTGGCAGACTGTTCCTTTAAGAAGTGTGTGCACAGCTTCAGGGAGAGTTCCACTACTTTGAACATGATCTCTCTTTCTATTATTGACTCTGTTTGTGAGGATGTATGATCTTTTGTGTGTGCTGCTGAGCTTTTCTTTCATCACAATACATCCCAGACAGAATGTGTGACTCTGAACAGTTGGATCGTTTTCACCATCAACAACTGTTAGAAGAGCGACTGTGTGTTGTGGTGAAATGGTGAAGATCATCTCTTCAGTCTCAGACAAGCGTCACATCAGTCAACGACTCCTTCCACTGTGTTTGTGTGATGGATTTGACACAATGACGAGCGACACTGGTCCAGACAAAGGTCAAGAGGTCAGTCTGAAACTTTTCAGGACCCTCCGCTGGCTTCATCTTTACACACTCATTAAAAGCACAACTTTATTTGAAATGGGAGTTTCCAAAGACACCAAACATGTGCCACTGAACTTTGGGGAAATGGGAATAAAATGATGCAGCAGAACATTTGATGGAGTCTGAGCTCTGAAAATTTCATCAGTGCAAAGATGATGAAGAAAAACATGATAGAGAGAATATATGATAAGACAGAGCCGGTGAAGAATTCAAGTCCAAAGAAATTCACTGATATTATTGAAGTGAATGAAATAAAGTGAAGGGGAACTTTAAGGCTTCAAATCACAGCTGAGGAGCTCTGTGGATTTGGACTTCTGTGTTTCCATCACAGCTGTTCAACAATAGATGACAGTGCGTGTTACTAAATTCACCAGTAACCTGTCATTTTTCTTTCCCCTTTAAAAGCTCCAACTCAGAGGAAAAGCACACAACAGCTTCAGCTGATCTGTCAATCAGCAGCAGCAGCCTCATCTGTGGGCCGCAGGGGCTGATGGGAAGTTTGAGGAGGCGTCAGAAACCACGTGGCCCTCGTCTGAGCTCACAGCTCGTCCTTGTTTGGCCTCAGCTGCATCAGAGCTCCACTTCTCCCCAGGTTCACCAGAGGAAACACCACGGCACAAAATGCTTTTCCTCCCAGCTGCTGCTCTGTGCTGTCTGTGTTCAGGTGAGTGTTTCCAGCCAATCAGGAGCCAGCAAACTCAACCTGTGACAAACACTGTCACACTAACCTTCATCTACCTGTCTGTGTCTCTACAGCACTGGTTGCCATGGCAGCAGAGCCAATTGCCAGGCTGATTCAAGACCAGTTATCATTGACCAGGAGAGTTGATGAAACAGTCTCCTTCAGCTGTGATCGAACTGACCAGTGTGACTATGATGGAGATGTATACTGGTACCAGAAGAAAGAGACAGAAACATTCAGCTTGATTCTGTATATTAACAAAGACAATAGCAACATATATTATTACAATCATCCTCAGAAAGATGATTTCACAGCTGTTACTAAAGAAAACGGCTGTGAGTTGAAGATAGAAAAAGTTAAACTCTCTCATTCAGCCTCCTACTACTGCTCCTGTCTGAAGGATGATAACCACAGTGAGAAATGATCCCTGCAGCCTGAACAAAAACCTCCAGATGAACAGCTGTCAAACAGTGTTTGTGACAGGAAGAGAGCAGGAAGCCACAGCCCAGGTTCACATATTTCACCTCCAGCTCTAATACTTTTTCTTGACTTTTCTTTGATATTGATTGATATTTTGATCAGATATTTCAGCAGGTTTCCTGTTGTTCCACACAGTGAGGACAAAGAAGAAACACAGAAGCAAATTACATAAAACAAGATGAGGAGAAACTATCAGAGAACTCAATGAATCAAATCAGATCAACAGAAAAGTGGAAACAACAAAGAAACTTTAAATCACATGAGAACCATTGGAGCAATGACATGTACAAAGACAAGTGTGATGAGGCTCCAAGCCAAAGTTTGACATGAAGATGAACAGGAGTCTACAGCCATGCGCCAGCTCTGTGAGGCTGGACTAAGACACAGTGCTGCTTTCAGCTAAATGCTAACATGCTCACAGTGATAATGCTAACATGGCATGGTGTTTAGCAGTTTACTGTTAGCATGCTAACATTTGCTAATAATCAGTAAAAACAAAGAGCAGCTGAGGCTGATGGGAACTCGTTTAGTTCTGCAGGTGTTTATCATAAACCAAAGTATTGGACAAATTCAATGTGACCTGTGATGGCGCTAATGAAAAGTCAGAGGATCACCAAAGTTACCAGGGTTCATCCTGAGGGGAACATGAACGTCTGAACCAATTGAAATGGGAATATTTCTTGAGATATTTCAGTGTGAAGAAAAAAGAGAAGAAGAGACAGTATATGAACATTAGAGAAACACATGATGGAGCTGAAATATGATTCTGGTTCATATGTGGACTCCTTCACCTCAGCTGACACATTCAACAGCAGACAGGTTTTTGTATCAGTCTTTTTCACTGTGGGAGGAGAAGACCACGAATTCTTTGGCTCTGGAACAAACTGTATGTATCAGGTAAGAACAAACATTTACTTTCCTTCATTGTTTTATTGAAGAAGTGTAAAATGTGTTTGAAGTCACTTTCTGCTGCTTCAACTTTACATGTTAGTTTGTTCAGAGTTAGTACAAAGTTCCTGATGCAGCCGTTTTCAATGAAAAAGTTCCATCATTAGTGAAAAGATGTTTCTTTTTCTCTCTTCTCTCTCCTCAAACAATTCACTTCTACATGAAGGATTGTGGAGGATTTTCCTGCTCACTTGACTTTTTGCTACAAAGTGTCCAGTTCATCAAAGTGATTTCAGTGATGAGCAGGATTCTTCACATTCACTCTTCAAACTTACATGTTTTAAAACCTGATTTTCCTTTATGGGAAATGAGATTTTAAAAGTTTTGCTGGTAAATACAGTAAATGAATACAGTTATTGTCTGATGATAAATGTCTTTTATATGAAATATTCATTTAAACAACAACAAACAACTTGAGGAAAAATATATAAAATATTATATCTAATAATTAAACAAATTTAATGATGTTAAATAATGTGAGTGTAGGTGAAATATAATTAATAGACTGACATATAGATTTTCTATGTACATACTATATCATGCAGGATGATACATCTATACTTCCATGGTGTATATTAAACTAATTCACAGTAAATATAATTTGTATCTTAAATCTGTTTATCTAATGAATATAACCACACCTTACATAATGATAATTGTATGAAATATATTAACAATAGTTTGAAATATATTTGTAATAACTGAAGAAGATTAGTCTATATATTGTTCTTTATATTTGTTTGTTTGTAATAACTGTTATTTATATGACTTAAATATTTCTCTTACTAAAACACGTATTTAGTTTAATGTAGAATTTATGTAAAATTGTCTGAGGGTAAATATTTTAATCATATGTTTAAAATCAATATATAAAATATTTACCTAATAAAAAAATAGAATTTAGTATCAATAAATAAAATGTTTGTATATGTGTACTCTCAGAAATTATACCTAAACCTCTGTATGTATAAGAAAATATAAAAATACATGAACACATCTTTATTTCTAATTATATATATTGTCAGAATATATCACTGTAAATATTTGTTGTTTTTTAGATTGGCTATAAAATCCTTAATAATATTATTATATTCAGTTAACACTGTATATCTCATAACTGTCATTGTATTTAAAACAAATAGTAAGTGCATGTTTTTATTAAAGGATATTACTTCATACTATTGTAAATACATGAATATAATATCATGAAGACACATATATTCTGAGCTGATGATTTATAAAAGTGAAATATGAATATAAAGAATTGAAATAGTGTTTCCATCTTTGACTTTGTTGAACTTGATCTTTCTCTGATGATATACATCATATATAAGCATGATATATAGCAGAGTAAATCTATGTGAAGGTGAATCCAGTATATGTGGGGACCTTTGTGCTGTATTGATGAGTAGTTTAGTGATCAGAGTCCATGTAGTTTCCAGGATCAGACTGAATGCAGTGCAGTGCTGGAAGCTGCTGTTGACTGTGTGAATGTGTCTGTGCTGCTTGTTGCTGCTGTCAAACTTCAGATGAGCCCGTAGTGAAGCCCGTGGTGAGCGTGTACCCAGCAGCATCCAGAGCCCACCTGGAGGGGAAGAGCTCCCTGCTGTGTCTGGCCTCAGCCATGTCTCCTCCTCTGGTCCAGTTCTCCTGGAAAAGACAGAAGGAGGATGGTCCTCTGGAGGAGCTGACCCGTGATGATGGAGAGCAGCTGGAGCTCAGAGAGTCGGGACGCACCGCCGCCATCTTGCTGATCCATCAGCCAGAGAACAGCACATATAAATACCGCTGCTACGTCAAGCACGAGGGCGGCACAGTGGAGGCCCAAACACAACAAGGTGATGAAGGCTTGCTGACTGTGTTGAGCAGTGATTCAACTTCATGTGGAGACGCTGTCATTCATATTTCTATATTAAGAATTAGTCTAATGACTTCTACGCAAGGTCAAAGGTCAGAGATGTGTTATTTAGCTTGTTGAGGAGTTCTTCTGCTCCCAAGTGGCTACAAAAAGAAAATGAGTGAATCCAACTTCAAGCTCATAACAACCGTGTCTTTTTATATGTTGGACTTTCCATTTGATCCTGGAGTGATTTGAATTGTCAGAAACACTTGACAGAAGAAGGTGATGAAGACTTGGTGACTGTGTTGAGCAGTGCTTCAGCTTCATGTGGAGACGCTGTCAAAGAGAGCAGAGCAGCAGAGCATTGACTGATTTCTTTTTTAATCCTTTTCTGTTGCAGTGGTTCCTCTGGATTCTCTCCAGCCTCAGTGCAGGGTGAAGCTGCTCTGTCTGCTCTACACAGTGCTGATAGTGAAGAGTCTGGTGTACTGCTGTGGACTCTCTCTGCTGATGATCCTCACAAACAAGGGACCGTCCACCAACTGCACACATGCTGACTGACTGTTTTCTAATTGCCTTTTCTCACCATCAATCTCATTTATGTCTTTGATTACTGTTCAGACATTTAAGTCAAATGTATCTTTTTATCCACAGGTTAGATACCATCAGCCTGCAGATGATGAATACATATATACTTATGCATATACTTTTTGAATCATTAAATTTACAGTTTCTAGTATTGTGTCATTTTAATGCTCTCTTTCATTTTCACTTTTAATTTTGACTCATGTAAAAATAGAAGATTTAGCTGAATCATTAGCTGCTTGGTAGATATTTTGTTTCTGGTATTTTTTCTTCTCTTGCTTTTTATTTTAAGACATTTTAATCCAACAATGATGTTTTTATCAAGTTCTGTCAGTGTTATTCTTTGAATAAAATGAAAACTCTCAGCTCTTTTGATTTGTTGACTTCTTTTTTTATTTATATCCATTTAGCTTCAAAGCAAACCAAAACGGAAATAAAAATATATATTGACTATTTACAGCGACACCTACAACTAACTTGACTCTGGGTTTAGCCAGCTCTTAATATACTCTCCCACAGAACAAACGTACAGGATGATGTGAATATAGGCACAGAGCTAAACAAGCACAATAATGAGTTATTATCAAAATGTGTTTATGTTGATTTGTATAACATTTTCTTGTTTGTATTTACACTAACAAACAAAAGAGTAACCTTAAAAACGAATTAGTTAATGTTAGCTCTTAGTATTGAAAATTAGTTCGATTTGTTTTTATTCTTCAATTAATTAAATTAAAAGTTTCAAATGTTTTTGTCTATGTTCTGTGTTTATCCGTCCACTTTGACAGAGTGGCTGGTTGTAGCTGTCATTGTGTTATTAAAGTGAAAAGCCACAGCTAACGGTGTGGAGGCTGCAGAGCAGAAACCCACACAGCCCGTCTGCTGCAGGAAAGGAAGTGTTGATTCGCTGTCAACAGTTTTTTATGAGTCCTAATAACCACTGAGAGCAGATTCATATCTGCTTCTGTACACGCTCATCAGCCCCCCTTCCTCTCTGTAGTTTGTCTCTTAGTGAAACTTTTTTCCACTGATCCTTCCACCCACACAGAGTTTAACTGAGCCCAGAGACCTACAAAGACCACCCGCCTGGAGGTCTCATCCTTGGGATGTTTTTATTAGGATTTGGAGTTTTAGCAACCAAAGGCCACTTTACAGTTGATACTGCTAACAAGTGCTCCCACATAACTGACACAGGTTGTTTGTCAGGATCCTCCAACATGATACAAATTAGAGTTTTTTGATCTGACGTCTCTCAAGGACAAATGTGAATTTCTCCACTTGTTTAGTTGCTGAATTAAATTTGATATCATTTTAAACATGTTTTAAATTTAGGAGTGTGAACCATGTCATAGATGAAACTGTATACAAAAATTTGATAAGATAGGAATTGGCGTCCTAATTTTTATGCAATGTAATAGACACTTTCAGTAGCTTCTAATGTCGCATATCTAGATTTGAATGAATTTAAAGTAGTGTGTGAATAATTTCTCATATTTAAGGTAAAATATAAATTTCAAGTGGCTCATAAATGATTTCATATTTCTAACTCTATATGAATTTGAAGGAACTTGCCTGCTGTTTTATTTGTGTGTGTAAGCAACAGTGTCTTCAGCATAGAGGTTTACATCCACACAGACACTACTGTAAAAGATAGTTAATGTTCAAGTTAAATGATAAAAACAGTCAAATTAGTCAAATTACTTGTAGATGTCAATACATCTGAAAATTAAAGTTCAGTCTGTTTCTGATAATTTGATATAAAACCAAATTTTAATAAATAAAAACAAGGATGTTCATGTTAAACACACAATGATTTATTAATATCTTGAGAATGTTACAGTGAATGAATTTTACAAACCGGTCACACTCTAGAGAAATGGAGCATTTCAGTCTTCTACTGGAGCTCCGTTATCCTCTCAGTCAGTCGTTCACAGTCCCAGCAGCTCACACATTTTGCAGGGTTTGCCATTATTGAGGTCGGACAAAGTTAGGGAAGTTAGGGTTAGGGCTGCAGCACAGACTTTAGTAGCTCACTTATAATGATGAGACTAGCAGCTTGAGACAGCTCCAAAATAAAAGGGATTATACAGTGAAAATCCAGAGAGTCCACTGATCTAAATTTTTCTGTGTCCAGAATGATGAAGGTGAACTTTTTCAGCTTCCTCCTTCAGTCTGATCTTCTTTCTCTCTCTGGTTCTGTGCATTCAGCAGCGCTGAAGATGGTCCAGTGGGAAACGATGATGACTGGAAACATGGAGACTTGGACTCAAACCTCAGCTGGGATGACCGGAGGTATGTGGCTAAGGTGTGTGTGTTTGTGTGTGTGTGTGTGTGTGTGTGTGTGTGGTTGAAACAACTAAACTACAAACAGAACTCAAAAACCCCGAAAAATGGTAAATTTTTTGGGGAAATTACATGTTGTAAATTTCAGCCATTTTGCAGTTGAATGTTGGCGACAGCTGACCTTCAAGGGAACAGAACCAGAGTCAGTAAGTTAAAGCAGCTCCACCTGCAGCAGGTAATAATCTCATTTATAACATCCGTCACAAAAACTTTTATTTTGACATGTTAAGTATATTAATCTTATACAACGTATTGTATTGAAATAGAATTTCAAAAGCAGGGTTTTTTCTTGTGATGGAGTATTTTTACTTTGTGGTGTTGGGACTTTTTCTTCAGTAAATACTGTTTCTTCATCACTACTACTACATGGTATTACAGTACGCCTGGCGTGGAGCAGTGTGTCGCTGCAGCCACCAGAGGGCAGCAGGATAAAGGTTTGATTCATTACAGCAGCAGCAGCAGCGGAAGGCATTGATTCAATTTATACAGCACATTTCATTAAAGCTGAACTCAGTGTGATTTACACTGAAATGTTTACAACAGCCAGAAACAGAAACGGGAGAAAAAACAATCTTCAAACTCAAGAAATGTCCACGTAAAGAAGAGAGGAAGAAAGTGTGGAGACTGAAGCAGTGTGTTGTCTCAACCAGCAGAGAGCAGCAGTGTGAAGGTTTGACTCCTCTCTGTCGCTTCCTGCGACAGAGAGGAGCTGATCAAGGACTGAAAGATGAACTGAAGGTGATGTGAAATTCCCTGAAACATTATTGTCAAATCTTTTTGAAATTCAAAAACACAGAGTCAAGCCAAAGCAGACTAAGTGACAGATTGTTCCTTTAAGAAGTGTGTGCACAGCTTCGGGGAGAGTTACACTACTCTGAACATGATGTCTCTTTCTAATTTTGGCTTCATCTTTACACACTCATCATTCAAAGCACAACTTTATTTGAAATGGGAGTTTCCAAAGACACCAAACATGTGCCACTGAACTTTGGGGAAATGAGAATAAAATGATGCAGCAGAACATTTGATGGAGTCTGAGCTTTGAATATTTCATCAGTGGAAACATGATGAAGAAAAACATGATAGAAAGAATATATGATAAGACAGAGCAGGTGAAGAATTCAAGTATATAGAAATTCACTGATATTATTGAAGTGGATGAAATAAAGTGAAGGGGAACTTTAAGGCTTCAAATCACAGCTGAGGAGCTCTGTGGATTTGGACTTTTGTGTTTCCATCACAGCTGTTCAACAACAGATGACAAGAGAAAGAGTTGAAATAAGAAATGAATCCCCTCTGCAGGCTGACAGTGAGCTTCATCTTCTTCTTCAACAGCAGCCATTTGAAGATTGAACACAAACAGCATGTTGGAGACTGAAGGTCTCAGTTTGACCAATCACACACTGAAACATAGAAGCTTTTTACACTTTAATGTTGCTGCCATGAAACCATCATTTACACTCTTCAACTCACCAGAGTTTGTCATTTTTCTTTCCCCTTTAAAAGCTCCCACTCAGAGGAAAAGCACACAACAGCTTCATCTGATCTGTCAATCAGCAGCAGCAGCCTCATCTGTGGGCTGCAGGGGCTGATGGGAGGTTTGAGGAGGCGTCAGAAACCACGTGGCCCTCGTCTGAGCTCACAGCTCGTCCTTGTTTGGCCTCAGCTGCATCAGAGCTCCACTTCTCCCCAGGTTCACCAGAGGAAACACCACAAAATGCTTTTCCTCCCAGCTGCTGCTCTGTGCTGTCTGTGTTCAGGTGAGTGTTTCCAGCCAATCAGGAGCCACCAAACTCAACCTCTGACAAACACTTTCCCACTAACCTTCATCTACCTGTCTGTGTCTTTACAGCACTGGTTGCCATGGCAGCAGAGCCAATTGCCAGGCTGATTCAAGACCAGTTATCATTGACCAGGAGAGTTGATGAAACAGTCTCCTTCAGCTGTGATCGAACTGACCAGTGTGACTATGATGGAGATGTATACTGGTACCAGAAGAAAGAGACATTCTCATGGATTCTGTATATTAACAGGAATAAGAGTGAAGTTCATCATATCCCTCCTTTTCAGGAAGATGATTTCACAGCTGTTAATAAAGAGAACGGCTGTGAGTTGAAGATAGAGAAAGTTAAACTCTCTCATTCAGCCTCCTACTACTGCTCCTGTCTGAAGGATGATCCCCACAGTGAGAAATGATCCCTGCAGCCTGAACAAAAACCTCCAGATGAACAGATGTCAAACAGTGTTTGTGACAGGAAGAGAGCAGGAAACCACAGCCCAGGTTCACATATTTCACTTCCAGCTCAAATACTTTTTCTTGCCTTTCTTTGATATTGATTGATATTTTGATCTGATATTTCAGCAGGTTTCCTGTTGTTCCTCACAGTGAGGACAAAGAAGAAACACAGAAGCACAATAATGAAACAAGATTAGGAGAAAACTATCAGAGGAACTCAATGAATCAAATCAGATCCAATAGAAAAGCTCGAAACAACAAAGAAACTTTAAATCATATGTGAACCATTGGAGCAATGACATGTACAAAGACAAGTGTGATGAGGCTCCAAGCCAAAGTTTGACATGAAGATGAACAGGAGTCTACAGCCATGCAGCAGCTCTGTGAGGCTGGACTAAGACACAGTGCTGCTTTCAGCTAAATGCTAACATGCTCACAGTGATAATGCTAACATGCTGGTGTTTAGCAGTTGTACTGTTAGCATGCTAACATTTGCTAATAATCAGTAAAAACAAAGAGCAGCTGAGGCTGATGGGAACGTCATTAGTTCTGCAGGTGTTTGATCATAAACCAAAGTATTGGACAAATTCAATGTGACCTGATGATGGCGCTAGATGAAAAGTCAGAGGATCACCAAAGTTACCAGGGTTCATCCTGAGGGGAACATGAACGTCTGAACCAATTGAAATGGGAATATTTCTTGAGATATTTCAGTGTGAAGAAAAAAGAGAAGAGAAGAAGAACATTAGAGAAACACATGATGGAGCTGAAATATGATCGTGGTTCATAATGTGGACTCCTTCACCTCAGCTAACACATTCAACAGCAGACAGGTTTTTGTATCAGTCTTTTTCACTGTGGGAGGAGAAGGCCTCGAATTCTTTGGCTCTGGAACCAAACTGTATGTATCAGGTAAGAACAAACATTTACTTTCCTTCATTTGTTTTATTGAAGACGTGTAAAATGTGTTTGAAGTCACTTTCTGCTGCTTCACATTTTACATGTTAGTTTGTTCAGAGTTAGTACAAAGTTCCTGATGCAGCCGTTGTTCAATGAAAAAGTTCCATCATTAGTGAAAAGATGTTTCTTTTCTCTCTTCTCTCTCCTCAAATCAATTCACTTCTACATGAAGGATTGTGGAGGATTTTCCTGCTCACTTGACTTTTGCTACAAAGTGTCCAGTTCATCAAAGTGAATTTCAGTGATGAGCAGGATTCTTCACATTCACTCTTCAAACTTACATGTTTTCAAACCTGATTTTCCTTTATGGGAAATGAGATTTCAAAAGTTGATGTTGGTAAATACAGTAAATGAATACAGTTATTGTCTGATGATAAATGTCTTTTATATGAAATATTCATTTGAACAACAACAATCAACTTGAAGAAAAATATATAAAATATTATATCTAATAATTAAACAAATTTAATGATGTTAAATAATGTGAGTGTAGGTGAAATATAATGAATAGACTGACATGTAGATTTTCTATGTACATAATATATCATGCAGGATGATATATATACATCTATACTTCCATGGTGTATATTAAACTAATTCACAGTAAATATAATTTGTATCTTAAATCTGTTTATCTAATGAATATAACCACACCTTACATAATGATAATTGTATGAAATATATTAACAATAGTTTGAAATATATTTGTAATAACTGAAGAAGATTAGTCTATATATTGTTCTTTATATTTGTTTGGTGGTAATAACTGTTATTTATATGACTGAAATATTTCTCTTACTAAAACACGTATTTAGTTTAATGTAGAATTTATGTAAAATTGTCTGAGGGTAAATATTTTAATCATATGTTTAAAATCAATATATAAAATATTTAACTAATAAAAAATAGAATTTAGTATCAATAAATAAAATGTTTGTATATGTGTACTCTCAGAAATTATACCTAAACCTCTGTATGTATAAGAAAATATAAAAATACATGAACTCACCTTCATTTTTAATTATATATATTGTCAGAATATATCACTGTAAATATTTGTCGTTTTTTAGATTGGCTATAAAATCCTTATAATATTATTATATTCAGTTAACACTGTATATCCCATAACTGTCATTGTTTTTTAAAGAAGAGTAAAAAAATATTTTTTTAAACATATACTTCAACTATTGTAAATACATTAATATGACATTATGAAGACACATATATTGTGAGCTGATGATTTATAAAAGTGAAATACAGATATAAAGAATTGAGATAGTGTTTCCATCTTTGACTTTGTTGAACTTGATCTTTCTCTGATGATAAACATCATATATAAGCATGATATATAGCAGAGTAAATCTATGTGAAGGTGAATCCAGTATATGTGGGGACCTTTGTGCTGTATTGATGAGTAGTTTAGTGATCAGAGTCCATGTAGTTTCCAGGATCAGACTGAATGCAGTGCAGTGCTGGAAGCTGCTGTTGACTGTGTCAATGTGTGTCTGTGCTGCTTGTTGCTGCTGTCAAACTTCAGATGAGCCCGTAGTGAAGCCCGTGGTGAGCGTGTACCCAGCAGCATCCAGAGCCCACCTGGAGGGGAAGAGCTCCCTGCTGTGTCTGGCCTCAGCCATGTCTCCTCCTCTGGTCCAGTTCTCCTGGAAGAGACAGAAGGAGGATGGTTCTCTGGAGGAGCTGACCCGTGATGATGGAGAGCAGCTGGTGCTCACAGAGCCGGGACGCACCGCCGCCATCTTGCTGATCCATCAGCCAGAGAACAGAACATATAAATACCGCTGCTACGTCAAGCACGAGGGCGGCACAGTGGAGGCCCAAACACAACAAGGTGATGAAGGCTTGCTGACTGTGTTGAGCAGTGATTCAGCTTCATGTGGAGACGCTGTCAAAGAGAGCAGAGCAGCAGAGCACTGACATTTCTCACTGCGACTCCAAACATTTGACTCCTTTTCTGTTTCAGAGGTTCCAGCTCCAGCAGCCCCCTGTCCTCCAGAGAGAGAGCCAGCAGACCTGGCAGCTCTGCAGCAAGATGACTGTAAGATCACCTGCTGCCTCTCTGCATGGACAGCTCCAATGTTCTGCTGCAGTTAGGGCTGCATATCAGTCTGTTCACTTTCTGCTCATCACTGAAGGATTTCAACATGCACTCCCTGATTCTGTTAGAGTGTCCAACAACACAACAAACCCCAGTCACAGAGCTTTCCCTGCACCACTCTGACTAATAACACCTTGGGGTCTCTATACTAAATGTGGGGCTTTGAGGGAGCTACAGCAGCTTTAGGGACTGTATGTTAAAGCTCCACTCATTCATATTTCTATATTAAGAATTAGTCGACTTTGACGTAAGATCAAAGGTCAGAGATGTGTTATTTAGCTTGTTGAGGAATTCTCCTGCTCCCAAGTCGCTGCAAAAAGAAAATTAGTGAATCCAACTTCAAGCTCATAACAACCTGTGTCTTTTTATATGTTGGACTTTCCATTTGATCCTGGAGTGATTTGAATTGTCAGAAACACTTGACAGAAGAAGGTGATGAAGGCTTGCTGACTGTGTTGAGCAGTGCTTCAGCTTCATGTGGAGACGCTGTCAAAGAGAGCAGAGCAGCAGAGCACTGACTGATTTCTTTTTCCATCCTTTTCTGTTGCAGTGGTTCCCCTGGATCCTCTCCAGCCTCAGTGCAGGGTGAAGCTGCTCTGTCTGCTCTACACAGTGCTGATAGTGAAGAGTCTGGTGTACTGCTGTGGACTCTCTCTGTTGATGATCCTCAGAAACAAGGGGCCGTCCGCCAACTGCACACATGCTGACTGACTGTTTTCTAATTGCCTTTTCTCACCATCAATTCTCATCACTTCATCTCATTTATGTCTTTGATCACTGTTCAGACATTTAAGTCAAATGTATCTTTTTATCCACAGGTTAGATACCATCAGCCTGCAGATGATGAATACATATATACTTATGCATATACTTTTTGAATCATTAAATTTACAGTTTCTAGTATTGTGTCATTTTAATGCTCTATTTTGTTTCCACTTTTAATTTTGACTCATGTAAAATAGAAGATTTAGCTGAATCATTAGCTGCTTGGTAGATATTTTATTGTTTATGGTATTTTTTCTTTTCTTGCTTTTTATTTTAAGACATTTTAATCCAAAAATTATGTTTTTGTCAAGTTCTGTCAGTGTTACTCTTTGAATAAAATGAAAAGTCTCAGTTTTTTTGATTTGTTGACTTCTTTTTTTATTTATATCCATTTAGCTTCGGAGCAAACCAAAACAGAAATAAAAATGTATATTGACTATTTACATCGACACCTACAACCAGCTTGACTATGGGTTTAACCAACTCTTAATATACTTTCATACAGTGTCCAGAACAAATGTACAGGATGATGTGAATATAGGCACAGAGCTAAACAAGCACAATAACACTAAGAGAGGTAAGCACACATAAACATGTAGCTATTTAATACAAACAATTATGTATAGGTGGTCCACCAGGTTCAGTGCTGGGGCCCCTTATCATTTACCTTGTATATTAATCATCTTTTATAATTGTGTAAGTGTGGATGTTAAACTCTACTTGATGACACTGTTTAGACACATGAACAATGAACAGATTGAGCTGCTGTGAAACTACAGTTGTTATAAAAAATAATCAGCTTGAACAGTCTGAGCTGAAGTTTAAATGTTGGTAAACAGTTGGGTGTATTTTTTTCCTTTAATACACCTTTAATCTTCCAGTTTTATCAATACAAAATTTAAGTAAGACAATTATAACGCATAGAAGCAGAGACAGCTACACTGATGATAACTGAAGCTTGAATGTAATTAGACTAGAGGTCAGTGGGTTCATGAGGTGAACTCATTAACCTTTGGCCCTGATTAAGATGTACAGACTCCTCTGACAACAGCTGTTGTTTTTTATAAACTGTAAATACTGATATAATGAGAGCTGAGGTGAACCAACATGGACGCTCCAGTTCTGCTTCAAGAAGAGAACAACATGATGTGTTTGTCTCAGTGCTTTGTGTTTCTGTCTCTGTGTGGCTTGTGGTTTGTTGGTCAGATTAATGACAACAAATTGCCTTTTTTTTATTTTTAAATTTGCAGTCAGGGACTCAGTATTTAAAACTCTCATGATTTCAATTTAAACTCTGTGAACTGTAAATTATATTGAATTAAGAATTAATTGTGAGTATTATCAAAATGTGTTTCATATAATAAATAACTTCTACTTTGATCTGACTGGTAATATATTTACCTTATGTTTTAATGGTTGATGAATAATTAATATGATTAAAATGAAATCTATATAAGAAAAAGAAATATTTGTTTGTTCCATTGCTCTGCTCTAATAACGTGTTGGAGGATATTTTATGTACATCTGATGTTTATGTTGATTTGTATAACATTTTCTTGTTTGTATTTACACTAACAAAAAAAGAGTAACCTTAAAAACTAATTAGTGAATTTGAGCTCTTAGTATTGAAATTTTTTTGGATTTGTTTTTATTCTTGAATTAATTAAATTAAATGTTTCAAATGTTTTTGCCTATGTTCTGTGTTTATCCGTGTCAGACTCTTTCACTAATTAGTTTTATAATAAGGACATCCAAAAACACCTCATTCAAAAATTCCACAGTTGTATTCTCCATACTCTCATATTCGCACTTAAGCTTGTAATTACTTTGTTTCAAATTAACCATCTTTTACAATAGAGTTAGTCGATGTAAAACAACACTGATGCCATTAAATATTTATTATATATTAAGTTAAATATGTGACATTATTTACAAGCTACCGAAAGCATCTGAAACATTACACATGCTTCCTGCAATGATTCTTTGACAGAGTGGCTGGTTGTAGCTGTCATTGTGTTATTAAAGTGAAAAGCCACAGCTAACGGTGTGGAGGCTGCAGAGCAGAAACCCACACAGCCCGTCTGCTGCAGGAAAGGAAGTGTTGATTCGCTGTCAACAGTTTTTTATGAGTCCTAATAACCACTGAGAGCAGATTCATATCTGCTTCTGTACACGCTCATCAGCCCCCCTTCCTCTCTGTAGTTTGTCTCTTAGTGAAACTTTTTTCCACTGAGCCCTCCACCCACACAGAGTTTAACTGAGCCCAGAGACCTACAAAGACCACCCGCCTGGAGGTCTCATCCTTGGGATGTTTTTATTAGGATTTGGAGTTTTAGCAACCAAAGGCCACTTTACAGTTGATACTGCTAACAAGTGCTCCCACATAACTGACACAGGTTGTTTGTCAGGACCCTCCAACATGATACAAATGAGAGTTTTTTGATCTGACGTCTCTCAAGGACAAATTTTAATTTCTGAACTTGCTTAGTTGCTGAATTAAATTTGATATCATTTTAAACATGTTTTAAATTTAGGAGTGTGAACCATGTCATAGATGAAACTGTATGCAAAAATTTTATTACATAAGAATTGGTGTGCTAATTTTTAATCAATGTTATAGACACTTTCAGTAACTTCTAATGTTGCATTTCTACATTTGTATGTATTTAAAGTAGTGTGTGAATAATTTCTCATATTTAACGTAAAATGTAAATTTCAAGTGGCTCATAAATGATTTCATATTTCTAACTCTATATGAATTTGAAGGAACTTGCCTGCTGTTTTATTTGTGTGTGTAAACAACAGTGTCTTCAGCATAGAGGTTTACATCCACACTGACACTACTGTAAAAGATAGTTAATGTTCAAGTTAAATGATAAAAACAGTCAAATTAGTCAAATTACTTGTAGATGTCAATACATCTGAAAATTAAAGTTCAGTCTGTTTCTGATAATTTGATATAAAACCAAATTTTAATAAATAAAAACAAGGATGTTCATGTTAAACACACAATGATTTATTAATATCTTAAGAATGTTACAGTGAATTAATTTTACAAACCGGCCACACTCTGCAGAAAGTATTAAAAAGAAACATAACAACAGAAAACATAGAAGTAACAGAGAAGCAATGATTCAGCTTAATTTCATATTGATATGCAGGTCCCAATTAAAAGTGGATATAGATCATTAAAACAACACTTAAGTACAGGGTTTAACCTTAGTAACTGCAAATATATATGTTTATGGTATGATATAAGTATTTATTATCTGCAGGCTGACGGTATCTAACCTGTGGATAAAAAGATACATTTGACTAAAATGTCTGAACAGCGATCAAAGAGATAAATGAGATGACGTGATGAGGTTTGATGGTGAGAAAAGGCAATTAGAAAACAGTCAGTCAGCCGGTGTGCGGTTGGTGGACGGCCCCTTGTTTCTGAGGATCATCAGCAGAGAGAGTCCACAGCAGTACACCAGACTCTTCACTATCAGCACTGTGTAGAGCAGACAGAGCAGCTTCACCCTGCACTGAGGCTGGAGAGAATCCAGAGGAACCACTGCAACAGAAAAGCATTGAAAAAGAAATCAGTCAGTGCTCTGCTGCTCTGCTCTCTTTGACAGCATCTCCACATGAAGCTGAAGCACTGCTCAACACAGTCAGCAAGTCTTCATCACCTTCTTCTGTCAAGTGTTTCTGACAATTCAAATCACTCCAGGATCAAATAGAAAGTACAAAATATTAAAAGACACAGGTTGTTATGAGCTTGAAGTTGGATCACTAATTTTCTTTTTGCAGCGCACTTGGGGGGGCAGAAGAACTCCTCAATAAGCTAAATAAACTCACCTCTGACCTTTGACCTTACGTAGAAGTCATTAGACTAATTCTTAATATAGAAATATGAATGAGTGGAGCTTTAACATACAGTCCCTAAAGCTGCTGTAGCTCCCTCAAAAGCCCCACATTTTAGTATAGAGCCCCAACAGGTGTTATTAGTCAGAGTGGTGCAGGGAAAGCTCTGTGAGGGGGTTTGTTGTGCTGGTTGGACACTCTAACAGAATCAGGGAGTGTATGTGTTGAAATCCTTCAGTGATCAGCAGAAAGTGAAACAGACTGATATTGCAGCCCTAGACTGCAGCAGAACATTGGAGCTGTCCATGCAAGAGAGGCAGCAGGTGATCTTACAGTCATCTTGCTGCAGAGCTGCCAGGTGGTGGCTGGCTCTCTCTCTGGAGGACAGGGGGCTGCTGGGAGCTGGAACCTCTGAAACAGAAAAGGAGTCAAATGTTTGGAGTCGCAGTGAGAAATGTCAGTGCTCTGCTGCTCTGCTCTCTTTGACAGTGTCTCCACATGAAGCTGAATCACTGCTCACACACAGTCAGCAAGCCTTCATCACCTTGTTGTGTTTGGGCCTCCACTGTGCCGCCCTCGTGCTTGACGTAGCCAGCGGTATTTATATTTGCTGTTCTCTGGCTGATGGATAAGCAAGATGGCGCGGTGCGTCCCGGCTCTGTGAGCACCAGCTGCTCTCCATCATCACGGGTCAGCTCCTCCAAGAACCATCCTCCTTCTGTCTCTTCCAGGAGAACTGGACCAGAGGAGGAGACATGGCTGAGGCCAGACACAGCAGGGAGCTCTTCCCCTCCAGGTGGGCTCTGGATGCTGCTGGGTACACGCTCACCACGGGCTTCACTACGGGCTCATCTGAAGTTTGACAGCAGCAACAAGCAGCACACACACATTGACACAGTCAACAGCAGCTTCCAGCACTGCACTGCATTCAGTCTGATCCTGGAAACTACATGGACTCTGATCACTAAACTACTCATCAATACAGCACAAAGGTCCCCACATATACTGGATTCACCTTCACATAGATTTACTCTGCTATATATCATGGTTATATATGATGTTTATCATCAGAGAAAGATCAAGTTCAACAAAGTCAAAGATGGAAACATTATCTCAATTCTTTATATTCGTATTTCACTTTTATAAATCATCAGCTCACAATATATGTGTCTTCATAATGTCATATTAATGTATTTACAATATTTGAAGTATATCTTTATCAAAAACTTGTATTTACTATTCATTAAAATGTCATTTATAAGATATACAGTGTTTACTGCATAGGATATTACAGGATTTTATTGCTGATCTAAAAAACTAAAAATATTTGCAGTGATATATTCTGACAATATATATAATTAGAAATAAAGATGTGTTCATGTATT